AGACAGTTGGAGCGTTAAACTGCAAACAAATCATTTCAAGGTTGAATATGGGTGAGCGCAGTTCATCCAAACAGAGGTTAAAGAATCACTCCTCTTAAAAAAAGGAGTGTTGATAAAAGTGCAGCAAGAATATCACAGAACTGCAACAATGAAAAGAAAAGACCCAGTTAAGGATTAATATATCAAAGTTCATTACTTGAGTACATCTAATAAGAAAGACCTTAATTTGATTGTGAATCCCAGGCACGGTCACCTTGAATCTTTGTAATGGACACTAATGTTATCCTCTTGTTCTGTTTGTCTTTCTTTTTTATTTAGATTTTATTTCCACTTTAGGCATTTTAAACAATCAACAAGCATCATCCCGAGAGCTCTCTACATGATAATATTGTACAATACCAGTTTTATAAAATCCTAAGATGTCCTCGGTGGCTCGTGTAGCATTTTTACAGCGAAGGTGACTATTCAGCTTAATGCAGTCCTCAAGGCAGGATATTTTCATTCATTAGAGTGGTCACAAGCACTTAAGGCACTTTAAGGATTGTTAGGGAGTGAAGAGATGGAGATGACAGTCCGGTTTCACTGACTTGCGGTAAGGTTCTAATAGGTCTGATTGAATTTGAGAGTGGTTGACTTTTAGGGCCCCGGTGCGCATTCAATTAAGTGCATGTAAAGACAGGTATGAAGTACAGTGTGCGTATATATCAATGCATCTTTTCATGCTTATGAAGTACAGTGTGCGTCTATATCAATGCATCCCTTCAAGTATGTCCCAATTTATCTCTCCTTGACTGAAAGACACTGTTTTACAAAGCGGTGTGCTTCAGTCAGGTATGTGCTGCCTACACAATGCCATTCTCAAAGACTGAAATCTTAAGACCCAAAGCGATCCTGACAGCCCATGGAAAAAGATGGCTGCATTTTAACCTGGCAATGGCAGGGATTATTATTTTTTTTTTTTTTTGTTTGAAGTACGTTCAAATAAAGAAGAATTCAGTAATGGTTGCATTTTAGCTTGGTAATGGCAGTTTTTTTTTTTTTTTTTTTAAGTATGTTTGTAAGTAGGTTTCATCTTCCGCTACTCTAAGTAAACTTTGACCTGCAAATCTGATTGTTTCAATCAATCTTATAGTTAAGAATCATTCTTTTTTTAAAAGTGCTTCTATTAGACTTTTATAAGCATTCTCCTTCATGCAGTGTTTGCAAAGGTTAGCAAACTTTTAAAAGTAAAGGGACCACTATTCCACTAAAAGAAAAAAAAACATGATTCTGGATTTCCAAAGTGATTTATATGTACTGTAGATGGCAGACCAATGACAACAGTCTGAGCCATCTGTCTAACTAGTCTGCTCAGCGAAAAGGCTTACAAAAAAAATCTTGCTTAAAAACCTTAAAGAAAAATTAAATAAAATGAAATAAAACAAATGAATGTTAGGGTAAAAAGAAAACCTGTGGTGATATTAAAATACTGTTATCTAATTAATATTTTGGCTAATTACCAAAAAAAATAAAAGTATGATATAATATACAGCTATAAAATAAAATAGAATAAAATAAGTAAAGAAATGCCTCACTGGCCCACCAAATAAAGTGTTGAGTAAGTCGGTAAGAGAGAATGGGCCATGTTTAACCAACCTAGCGTTAAACTGCAAACAAATACTTTTAGGGTTGAAAATGGGTGAGTGCAGTTCCGAGCCATCTGTCCAACCAAAGTGTAGTCTGCTCACCAAAAAGGCTTACAAAAAAAAATCTTGCTTAAGACTGTTCAAGAAATAAGGTGATATAAAGTATATATTTTGAGAAAACAGATGTAGAGTTGAAGTCAGAACTATTAGCCCCCCTTTGAATTATTATTATTTTTTAAATATTTCCCAAATGACGCTTAACGGAGCAAGGAAATTTTCACAGTATTTCTGATCACATTTTTTCTTCTGGAGAAAGTCTTATTTGTTTTATTTTGGCTAGAATAAATTTTTATTGGCCCCTTTAAGCTATATTTTTTGATAGTCTACAGGACAAACCAACGTTATACAATAACTTGCCTAATTACCCTTAATTTATTGCTTAGTTAACCTAATTAACCTAGTCAAGCCTTTAAATGTCACTTTAAGCTGTATAAAAGTGTCTTAAAAATATCTAATCAAATATTATGTTCTGTCATCATGGCAAAGATAAAATAAATCAGTTATTAGAAATAAGTTATTAAAACTATTATGCTTAGAAATGTGTTAAAAATATCTTATTTTCGTTAAACAGAAATTAAGGGAAAAATAAACAGGGAGGCTAATAGTTCTGATAATAACTGTATGTAAACCAACTGCAAAATAATCTGCAAATAACAAATACTGTTTCATCATTTCCTGTTCCATGTCCTGTTGGAGTTAAATCCGACTTGCTATTAAGTATGCAAAAGGCACTGCATAATATCCAAAAGCACAGTATTTTAAAAGTACAAAAACAATATTCTGACCAACTAATGTCTTTGTTCATCAAATACAGTACATGATTTAGGATGCAGTTGTAGTGTGACCACACCTTAAGAAGGTTAGCTAATGAAAGGTTAGAGCTGGTCCCTTAATAACATGCTGAGTTGGGCATTATTATTTTTAGCGTGTCCATTCTTTGCCTCGCATTTCATAAAGACATGCTTTGTCGTTAAGACAACACATGGCTCACTCAATGACGTCTGGAGTCACGCAAGGGGTTAATCCTGACATTTGAGGTTCCGTGGGCTTGAAGATTCCCCTTACAGCTGCACCAAACTGAGAAGTTCTCAAGGACGCAGAACTGCTCTATTCCAGCATCTCAACGCATTGAACTCTGCATGCCTCTTGTCTCTCTCGAGCTCAGGAACTAATTTCTGTGCAACGGGAGAAACCGTGGTGTGAGGCGTAGAGGCATGAGGTCGGCTCGGTCTCCATTATTAAGGGCAGATTAACACAGCTGTACACTAGAAGTGAAGCACCCTCTCCTGTCTGCACTAAACATACGGGCCTTCAGGATTATGAGCTGCACTTGACCATTTAAATTACTGCAGCAACCGGCCATACCAGCTGGGGCTCATTAGCATAGCACCCTTGCACACGAGGGCTAAGAGTGCATCTTAAAAAACACCCTACTAGAAACAACAGGAGGACACAAGCACTTCACTGGATCCCACTGATGCTGGAGATGCATGAGAGGTGAGGGAAACAAATTACATCAAAAGAAGATTTTTTTTTTTTAGTTCAACATCATACAGCAAGGCATCACGGTGGCGCAGTGTGTTCCGCAATCGCCTCACAGCAAGAAGGTTGCTGGTTCGAGCCGCGAACTGGGTCAGTTGGCATTTCAGTTTGGAGTTTGCATGTTCTCCTCATTTTGGCGTGGGTTTCCTCCGGGTGCTCCGGTATCCCCGACAGTCCAAAGACATGCGGTATAGGTGAATTAGCTAAATAATAGTGTACGTGTATGAATGCAAGGGTGTATAGGTTGCGACTGGAAGAGCATCCGCTTTGTAAAACATGTGCTGAATAAGCTGGCGGTTCATTCCGCTGTGGGGACCCCTAATTAATAAAGGGACTAAGCCAAAAAAAAAATGAATGAATTATACAGCAAGTCACTTTAAGTGATATTTCCAAAAGTGATTCTGTTTAATACAGCGCCTTAATTGACAGACAGGCAAATTATAGGTGCGAATATTTTTATAGAAAAAAAAAAGAAAATCAGTTCACAGAAATTTAGATTGCTGTTAAATTATTTCATCGCACCAGCAGCAAAATGAAGCCCCTTTATGATAATGGATGGCCTGTCATGATTTTCTATATCAATTATGAATATGAAAATATTCAAGACTGACAGCCCCTCACTCAGATTTATTTAATTTGTCCTATTTTCTTATTCAAAATATTTCTCTAACCCATGGCGATAATGAAGCAGACCATAAACAAATACGATTAAATTAATATGAAGACCTTCACAAAATGAGAGCGGAAAAATATGTGAGAAAAAAAAGAAGAAGATACTTTTAACTGAATTATGGCCTAATTTATTCCTCTGATCAAGTGTTCGGGCTAAGAGCTCCCAAGATGCTTAAATGAGACTAGCATCTCCCCAAGGAGCAATAACGTCTGAGTGTGTGTGTGTGTGTGTAATATTTGATTGTATAGGTTTCTGCTTTACACTAATTACGAGGAGAGGAAACTGTTTCAGCAACTCTTTCCAGTATTTGCTTTTCAGTCGTGCTCCCTGAGGACTTGCTCCACTGCGGCATGATCTGCACCAAACGGTTCATTAAAAATATCTTTAAAAAAAAAAATAAAACAAAATAAAAAGATTGTTTTATATCTATTACATAAATTCTGCCTTTAGCCACAGAACTGGATTTTCACTTTTACAACTTAAACCTACCCTGAATGCTTAAATTCGTCATATAATCAAATCCTTACACTATACATAAGTATTTTATATCATTTTATATCGTTCAAATTTAATTGCCAAATCCTTGGATACTTCTGAGCCCTAAACACATGGAAGAAAGAAAAAAAAAATGCTTTCTTGGAGCTGTTTGAGTTGGTCTGTTGATGAATTTTGCGGCATGAATGCTGTCGTCTGTACTGAAGAATAAAAAGGTAATGTTCCTGGCGTCAGGTCGTGGCGTGTGTTTTATGGTCTGAGAGTTTGGTTTGGCATCGCCGGGAGACCACACTTAAGCTGAGGGGTAGTGCCACCCACTCTTTGTCACACTGGATCCAGTTCAGAACAAACTGGAAAACACAGCCACGTCAGTCCTCCCAGGTTAAACGACTGTGTGTATGCGTGTACAGTAGGGAAAAAAAAGATTGATTATGTAGAATAAGAAAGAAGACAGAGTTATACACTAGGAGAAATGAGGAAAACAGAGCGACCGAGAAGATCGATGCACGTCAAAAAAACGCTTCTCGCTCAGAGGAAAAGAGCACTCGCTCACATAACCGTACAGTAGATCCAAACACACGCAAACAAGCCGAAACCTTGCGTACCGTCTTGTTCTGTCTTTGTCATCTCCTCCAGTTTCTTCTGTTTCAGTGTGTCCACCACATCGGCCAGGCTTCCTTTGCGGCGTTCTGGCGTACCGAAGGCTGAGCTGCTCAGCAGGTCGCCACGCTCCCTGGCCCCCTCCTCTGGCTTGTGTGGAGAGGTAGAGTTATTCCGGAAGGAGTATAAGGAACATACTTTATTGCTGTCCGATTCCTGAAAAGAAAAAAAACAAAAGACTTTTTATTTATTTTTATATCTTACATTTTTTTATACTGTCAAAGTATCATCAGTAAAATTGAGATTTAACATTTATAGAAGATTACAGATTATTCAATTACAAAGAAAGTTAAATATTAAGACCAAACATGATCATGACAACCTGCTGTACTGTAGGTTAATTGGAATTATGAAAAGAAATGGCTGCAATTTAGCTTGCCAATGAAAGCAGATTAAAGGTGTGTTCAAATGTGATTGTCAATCTTAAAGGAAAGTTGAGGATCATTCCATTATTAGGTGCTCCGATTATGCTTTTTATTATTACCCTTAACGCAGTGTGTTGCTGTTGTGAATTCAATTCAATTCCTCTTTATTTCTAAATCGCTTTTACAATGTAGATTGTGTCAAAGCAGCTTAACATAGGTGGAAACTGCTTCAGTCCATTTTTCATAGTTCCGTTTAGTTCAGTTCAGTGTAATGTAAATGTCAATATATGTGACTTTTAAAGGTCCAAAGGTAAAGGAAATTAAATTACTGTCTCTTTAATAATAAAAAAAACTTATTCTGAACTTCCAAAGATATTTATCAATAACAACTGATTTTCCTCTGTGATTTTCCTCTGTGATGCTCTGATCGATCGGCCGGAGATCGGTATTGGCCGATAATCTAATTTCATGACTCGATCGGTGCTCGCCAATCTGGCTGATCTCATGAACTGATCGCAAATGTTTGTTTATAGGTTTACTGTATATTATACATGAGCAGCAGAAGTAGATAAAATACCCCGCAAATCATGACAACGAGAGTGAATGAGCAAGAGAACAGATCGAGAGAGGCACAGTGATGTTCTAAGCATTGCATTGGTTGGGTTAAATGAAGAGCATTAAAGATATCTCCAGTGCCAATTTCTTGCCAATCTTGTGTGTTTTTAGGCTTTTTTACATATAAGAACTGACATTTCTGTGTTTTTTACTATGTTGCATGTTCACTAAAACCTGGCTGGAAATATTATGTTTTTTATTAAAACTTGAATATATATTATTATAACTTTTTGTAATATACTAACTGCAATGGACAGTTAGTTGCATGTTCAATAAACATAGGCCTATTTCCATTTATAGGTGTGCATTTTAACTTCTTGAGCATCAAATATGTGCCCTAAACTTTTTTCTTTATTAAGACATGTTGAATTCTTCTATCATTTGCAATGATGCTAAATTGCATTGTTTTTACTAATTATTTTGATCAGTTTTATCTATTATTTTATGTAAAGCTGCTTCTGACCATGATATGTACACACTAAATGGTTATAAGGGGCATGTTTAAGGGATTAAATGCAGCATTCTTTTAGGTAAGTTAAGATCTTCTCTTAGGGTTCATAATTAAATAGGAAATGTGCTGTATGCATTATAAAGCTTAAAGCATCAGCATTGGTCCTCTGTATCACCTTGACAGAAATCGATACTCAGTATCTTCTTCAAAAATCTTAATCGAAGCATCTCTAATAATTAATTTTCTATTTTCAACTGTTCCTATTATGCATTTCAAACCTCAACTTTTAAAAATAGCAATAAAAAGGAGACATAACAATTACAGAGCAGATGAATGGTGTTGAACGACTCCTTTCTCTTTACAATAGTCATCGCTGTAATTCCTTTGCAAAGGTTACGAGTGCGCGTTTGAGCTGAGCTTGAGCGCTGTGTAATTTGTTGGTTCTCAAGTGAGTGGCTGCTCCTCGCTGAACCCTCCAGGCCATCGTAAATCTGGGCCCTGTCTTGAGCTGCTGTTGTTTTGCGGTCCCACCTGTGTGTGGTTTAGTGGTTAACTGGGCTTCTGTCTGCAGCTGATAGTTCAGTGTTCCCTGAGCGAGTACACAGAGAGGGAAAACAGGAGAAGTGATCTGTTTGTCTGATCCTTCGCTGAATTCGGCGCACTACTGAGTGATTGTCAAGTGCAAAGGCACATTAGTGAGAAAAGAGGGAGAAAAAGCTGACAGGTGGATGTCTGGAGAGCAGGGCACTGACGGGCATTAGGGTGGTGCGATTATGTGGCAGCGTCACATACAGTAACTAGATCGCATTAATCAACTGGCAGAGACTGAGAGTTCTGCTAACATACAGTTGAAGTCTCATTATTAGCACTTAATTATTCACCCCCCTTGTGAATTTATTTCCTTTTTTTAATATTTCACAAAATTATGTTTAACAGAGCAAGGAATTTTTTATAGTGTTTCCAATAATATTTTTTTCTACTGGAGTTAGATTTGAGTTTTATTTGTTTTATTTAGGCGAGAATAAAAGCAGTTTTAAATTTTTTAAAGACAATTTTAAGGTCAAAATTATTAGCCCCCTTAAGCAATATTTATCAATTATCTATAGAGCAAACCATCATTATACAATGATTTGCCTAATTACCCTATCCTGCCTAATTAACCTAAACTGTAAAAACAAATCCATTATTTTACGTTTTGCTTTCGTTAAATTACAGACATTTGTCGTAAAAAAAAACAGACGATAAATTACAGAAATTTACCGGAAAATAAAATTTAAGGAAATTTCTGTAATTTATTGTCCGCTATTTGAATGTAAACGTCTGTAATTTAAAGACTGTTATTTTAAACCCCAGCTGCCGGAATTAAATAAATAAATAAATAAATAAAATAATATAACAGATATTTTTTTACATTGTAGTTAAAGGCTGATTTATACTTTTGCATCAAGCGCACACGTATCGTCCGGTGCAGCCTTCGTGCAGTCGTATAGCCCTCGCCGTGCGTGGCTGATGAGAATGTTGTCACGCACCTTTCAAAAAATGTAACTACACATTGCAACGACACAAGCAAGAGCAACACAAACAGCATGCAGAAGTATATATACACGGCTACGCGCAAAGCATGTGGCGTGAGTCATGGCGATCACTCGACGCAAAAGTATGAATCAGCCTTAAGTGTTTAAATTGCACTTTAAGCAGAATGCTAGAGTATATTGAAAAATATCTAGTCAACTATAATGTACTCTAATCACGACAAAGATAAAAGAAATCATAAAAGAAGATAAAAGAAAACTTTGATGTTTAGAAATGTGTTGAAAAAAAATCTTCTCTTCATTAAACACATAATTGGTGATTAAAATCCACAGGAGAGCTAATACTGTGATTCAGCATGGCTAATAATTCTGAATTCAACTGTACACATGAGGTTGAATTTACAAATGAGATCTATTAAATATACCATCTATTGAGCAACAAGATTACACCTGATATAAAGGACAGCAATCAAAAACCTAGATATAAATATCAGAACTATTTATCCCATTCTAACGATGTTTCTGTTATTAATATTAATCATTTATAGGGGAAAATATAATAAATTTATTCTGCAGAGATGCATTAAATCCATCAAAAGTGACAGCAAAGACATATAATGTTTCAAAAGACTTTTATTTCCAAATATGCAGTCCTTTTCTAACATTCTATTCATCTCATTATTAAGAAAAAATGCCGTTTTCAAAAAAGAAAAAGAAATCAGTATTGATAAGAAGAAATGATTCTTGAGCATCCAATAGCTATATTATTTCGGTGACACTGAAGACTAATGTAGTTTTTCTCTATGTTTGATCAAATAAAGGAAGCTTTTGACCTCAAATATTTGACAGATTAAACAAATAGACAATAGGGATGAAGTTTCTAATGATACATAGTCACCCGGAGGATATAAGAAATTGTCACAGTCAGAAATGTTTCCCACAGTTCCTTACAAGGCTAATGGATAATTAAATTACATCATTTGCAAATCTATTGAAGAGATTATTAAATTACCTCTTCATTTACTCTCCCTCATGTGGTTCTAAACCTTTTTTAGCTTCTTTCTTCTGTTGAACAAGACGAAAATATTTTAGACCTATTAACTTTCATAGTAGAAGAAAAAATACTATGAGAGTCAATGGTTACTAGCATCCAGCATTTTTCAAAGTATCTTCTTTTGTGTTCAACAGAAGAAATAAACTCAAATGAGCATTAAACAAGTAAAGGATGAAAATAAGATGACAGATTTTTAAAATTTGGATTGAGCTATCCCTTTAAATCTCCCAATCTGAATGAGAAAAACTTAATCACTAAAATATTACCCTGGACACATATTATCCATTGCAAACAGGCACTGTAGGTTTAGCAGGGCCACCAGCAGAAAAAACTCTCTCTTTCATCTTATACTCTTGTTCATCTTCTATTCACTGCATACCTCCAAAACTCATTTTCAGTGCTGTCATTCTTGTTTTTATGTTTGTACATATTTACCTTGTTTATATTTTATGCCACGGCATTCTGCACACCTGAATTGACATACCAGATCTTAATGCATGACTCAATATACACTACAAAGAATTTCTAATATATACGGTAAGAGTTTGCACATACCTCACATTGCATTTACATATTACAGACGCTTTTATCCAAACTACAGTGAAGTATTTATAAGGTGAGAGTAGCAGAATACTACTGAAAAAAACAAAACAACCTCTCGCTCGACAACAGGATGTCCTGTTCATATTAAGACAAGTGAGCGCAAGTGAAGCGCTCACTGCAAATCAAACACAAGCAGCTGCACTTGAACATCAAATGAGCACAATTAACTTTTCATATGCTTTCCCTCATTATATCAAGAGGAAACCGAGAGATCATCCCGCGCACATCCAACCACAGCAGTTCGGTAACAATTCTTTGAAATGCCTTTCTAATTACACAATCACAAAAGCTCTCTGTAATGCAATTAAGAATCAGCAGCACCTGAACAGTGCATGAGATTTACATGTGAGGAAAAGACAGATTATATTATATTATATTATATTATATTATATGATACATATTATATTATATTATATTATATTATATTATATTATGTTATATTATATTATATTATATTATATTATATTATATTATAATATATTATAGTATATTATAATAATATAAATTTTTATTTTATAATAATATATATTATATTATTATAAAATAATTTAATATAATTATATAATTATATATTAATTTATATTATATTATATTATATTATATTATATTATATTATATTATATTATATTATATTATATTATATTATATTAATACTAAATTTTAATACTAACTTATATTTTCAAGACAAATTCTACATGAAGCAGTAAAATTGAGGAGGAATAATTTAGATTAAATGTAGAGGTCAGTATTTTATTTTTGTTTTATTTATTTATTTTTAATTATTTACTTATTGTATTTATGTATTGTTATAATTATTATTATTTTACTTTTGTGTGTATTGTTTGTATATTGTATCGTTAAATGTTCGCTGGAACAAATTTGTAAGTCATTTGTGCTAATATGCATAAAATTAAAACTTATATCAACAGTTGTCACTACTAACATTTATTTAGATAAAGAAAATGAAACAGAAATGAGCCGATTTATCAGATCATTTTTGTATGAGATTCATACTAAATATTTTTATAAAAACATCATAAGGTTATATTGATATATCTGACATTGCTATCTTTGCAAAAGCTTGTTCAGATAACAACATCAGGCCACTGGCTAGCATCTGTCAGGCTATTTGGTGTGCTCCACACATCGATTCACTTTGGTTTCGCGTTGACAGCGGGTCACCTAATTCAACATGTTAAATCTACAGGTGTTTCCTTACATGCAGCCACAGAATGCTGTGTGCAAGTGTAGCTTTTTGGCCAAAAAGCAATGTGCAACCGCAATGACTTTTATCTAGTTCTTTGACATCCACGTTGTATGCCTCAATCCTTAAAAAGATTACATTTGTGATTGTCATTTGCTATGTGATGTTGTCCATCACATACATTACATGTAGGTGTCTCTACACATGATGTGAAGTTTCCACCAATGGAATGCAAGCTAAAGAATAAGCACAAAGCATCTCATGAAAGATGAATATGTAAGCTAATTAAAGTGGGCTTTGGCATCTGCATGCTGACAGGCCAGGGGAGTCCAGACCTCAGGGGCCGGACTGAGTCACCTAACTCTGGGCCAGCAGCAGCAGCAGAGGGGTTCATAGAGAATTCCCTTTTACAAGCATCGAACAATAAGTGTCTGTCAGTCTTGTGTCTGGGCTCTATGCCTCACAGTCTAGAGAGACCACCACGGAGGAGCGGAGGGGGCTCCCTTAACTCCCTTGAATTCCCACTCCTAGTCCCGCTTTCTCATTGTCCCTCTATTTATAGATTCATAAAATCGCTCTGACGTGAAATGCAATTCAATACGTTGTTCTCCTGCACTTTTTACAGTGCGCGGGATCTCCAGGCACTTGTGGGGGACTTAAACTTCAAAGCCGAGTCCTTGGCAAATCACAAAGTCTTAAGTCGTCATTCAAAAGTTTTCCGCAGAGGCCTGCTCTGTTCTGCTTGTGTCCTTGGGTTGAGGATTCCTCTCTGCAGGAGTACAAGTGTGCATGTGTGTTGTTTAGAGAGAATAGAGGTGGGACACATCTGGAGATTTACTCCTGTTGTGCTTATGCCGTAAGATTGTGTCATGAGCTGAAAATATATGTGGCGTTCCAGATGAATCAACTTGACTAGACAGTTTTCACTCTTTGAATCCTGCCAACTATCTTTAATAATGTGATCTCTCATCTACACCTCATTAGAAATTAAAAAACACACATAGCGTGTGGTAGCACACTTAAATGAGCTAAGAAACGCTGGCAGTGGCACTCACCATGCGCTGCTGAGCTGACATCAGGCTGTCCCAGTCGGATTCGGGTGGCACGCTGCTGCTGATTGGCTGGAGCTCCTCCAGGGGAGGTTTGTTGTGGAGCAGATTGTGCAGGGGCAGCTGAGGGGCAACTAGCGACTCTGAGTTCTCCTCCTTCTCCCAGGGCATACGCTCCTGATTCACTCCATCCTCACCTCCATCAGGGGTCGAGGTAAATGGAGAGGTGGCTTGCTTGGAAGACATGATTCTGCTGGGAGAAGAGAAAAAAAAAACAGGCGTTTCTGATAACATGTTCACTTTGAGTGCAACAACATCATTCCATCTTGCAAATGTCAGACAGGAAATGCAGGAGCTCAGCTTTCATTCTCTATGAGCGCTCTCACATCACATATATATGAAGTTGGCTGCCGTTCTGAGCCTCTGCGCCACATCTAACCCCACGATTGGACCGGTATCAGAGCTGGGGAGATCCTATCAATGACTCTGAGCTCGGTGTGAGAGAAACGGCATGCACTGGGGTCCCTCTTAATCCTTTGTTTAATGTAAATGGACGTGCTGAGCTATGGCTGGAGAGCTGCCTGAGGCAGGCCCGATTCCCCCGCCCCATGCCTGATTACCCCGCTAAGAGGGTTACCATACCATATAACACGCTCTCATTAAAGAGCTAACCCTGCCACCAACCACAAAAAGAGCTGTGATGCTGAGACGCTGACACATAACGGGAGTTTGATCATTACATTCATATTGAGTCTATAAATGTGTCATTTTCCTTCGTTTTGTTGTAATTGAGCTTTTCTGCTTTTGCAATTGTGTTTCAGGAATATTTCGAGTAGGTTGCTGTGGCAGAAGGGAGATAAATTTGCAAAGTTTTATAGAGAATTTCCCATGTTACAAAACAGGCTTGGCTAATTCTTTTTTTTTTTTTTTCAAACAAAAGTCAATGTGACATATTTCATAAAATTGTCATATTGCATAAAATCAAGATTTCTTTATCCATAGCCACAAATTTGACTTCCAAGTGTTATTATGGTGGTGGATGGTGGATGAGGATTCCCCAATGTGTAAAGCGCTTTGAGTGTCTAGAAAAACGCTATATAAATGTAAGGAATTAAAATTATTATTATTATTATTATTATTATATTATGAACAGAAAAAAAATAAATAAATAAATAAATAAATACAAAAATGAATAAATAAATAAATAAATAAATAAATAAATAAATGTATTAATTAAAAATTTGTTTATTTTTATAACAATGAATAAAATCGTTCCATATCTCTGACCCTACGATATTTAGGATAGTAGGATAGTAAGAAGGTTTGTTGGCTAATTCTCTCATTAGATCTGGTGCAGTCACTTTTAGATCAACTGTTTAATTCAATTAGCAGGTTAAGTGATCATTTCCGTAGACATAGAGTGATTTCAGTAATTGTTATAAAAAATGAATAAATTAATCAATGTTCATTTTTTATAACAATTAATGAAATCACTCTATATCTCTAACTCTGTTCATGTAAATTACAGTTTGAGATAACAGAAGGTAGTTGAAAGGCTAATAGGAATGTTTGTTGGCTAATTCTCATCACATTAGATCCGATGCAGCCTGTTTTGGATCAACTGTCTAATACAATTAGCAGGTTAAGTGATAACTTCCTTAGATATAGAGTAATTTCATTAATTGTTACAAAAAATAATGAATGAATGAATTAATGTTAATTTTCTATAACAATTCATTAAATCTCTCTATAGCTAAGGAAATTATCACTTAAACTGTTAATCAAATTAAGCAGTTGATCTAAAACTGGCTGCATTGGACCTAATGAGATTAGAATTAGCCAACAAACTTTCCTACTACCCTTTCCATTACCTTTAATTATCTGACAACATAATTGACACTACACTAGCACTCATAATGTCATAGAAGAATATAACTAAATTAAAGTGTTTATTACAACAATTAATGAAATCCTTCTACTGATAAGGAAATTAAAACCTAACCTCCTAATCAAATTAAGGGATTGATTAAATATCTGGAACTAATCTAATGAGTTGCGAATTGGCTGCCACACAACTTTTATTCACCTTTAATATGCCTGTCTTGAGAGAATCATTTACACTAGACAGCAAGAACACCAGAAAAGCCATCATACAAACGACTGTCTGCTGAACGTAGGGATGAGCATCGTTGTTTTGTCCGTAACGCCCAGAGACCACGAGACGCTGTGGCAGAGGAAGCCAAAACGCTGCCGCTAGCCACATTAGCCTGGACAAAGAGCATGGGCGTTGTAGGTCAAGGGCTGCAGGTGAGCTAATGTCCTTCTACTGCCCACTGAGACTGAGAGGAGATGAGAGAGAGGCAGGCTGGGTAATGAAGGCAGCCCAAGGTGCCTCCAGAACTCCATCTCCCAGCCCTGCCAAGTTTTCCAGCATGTGGCTCATCGTGGGACGAAAACAAATTTGACACCGGGAGAGATTATTTTAACACCAAACTGTGAGTTAATCTGTTCACGTGCGTGCGGCGGCCGTACACTCCGGCGCATGAGGGATGTGTGGGTTGCAATGGGCTGTCAGGCCCAATTGCTCTCAGGCCCTTTAAAGTATGACTACTTCATTTGAAGACATGCCATCAATTTGCACACATGGCTGAGCACTTAAGCCTCACACTCTCAATATGAGATCTTTAATACAGTTCAGTAAGGAAGCTTCAAAAAACAAAACTATAGTCTTAACCTAGCTGCAATAATATTAATTTTGTTATGCATACTTAAAATGAAATTAAAAAACATACAAAAATGACACAAACACCTCCATGAAGTCTTAGATGAGCTCTGCGGCAGCCAACAGAAGTGGACAATGGAAGTCAATGGAAGTTAATCAAGCGGGATACCGCAGCTGTGCAAACAAGCAAAGTCTGTTAGTTAGTGCAGAGAAAGGCACTAGAGACCCAGACCGATCCGCGGCCCTATTTTCTTAAGGCGAAACCGAGGCCTCAATTTTAATCAGCCAATAAATTGTTTCCTGTAATTATATCAAACAGAAAGTGATGTCTAAAATTGTAGAGCGTTAATTGAAAATCAAATGTATGAGGCAAAGTTCGAAAGGGGTAAGCGGCAGCAGCGACGGCTAGAGGAAGCAGCGAAAGCGCAGAAAAAGAGTACAAGAGAGAGGGATTTTTTATTCATGGATCCAAAGAGCCTGAGCTTCCAGCACAACAACCCCCACCTTCATCTTCAATGGACTGCGAGCGAAACAAAGCACTTCTTTTGTATTACACAGTAAATCAAGCGGTATTATTTTACCTCTAAAATATTCAGTCTCTCAGGCCTTTCCCTTCAGTCTCCAGCCATCAGTCAAACTGCTGAGGCATGATAGAATGAGAGAGAGAGAGAGGCTGACTCCATCCTCCTGTAACATGTGTCTACAGCAATTTTACTCCAAAACGCAACAGATCTGAGCCAGGGCCCCGTAACAGTATTTGTCAGTTGGAGTTAATAATTCATTAGGAGAGCCGGGAGGGCGGCTCAGCCCATGAGCGCTGGGGTTCGTGAGTTTTGCCCCACAATCCCTCCCAACCATAACACCCTCCCGCCCCACTCACATCCACCCGGCTAATCTGCAGAATGGAACAATGTGGCTGGCGTTTAGCCGGAATAAAGGCCTGATTCCTAGATGGCTTTTTTTTCCTTTAAGCACACTTCAGAATCATTTAATTCCTGCCTACAAGCCATAAAATAAAAACCAGAATGTGGCATATGACAGAGGAAAGGAAGCAGCCCCGACACCACCGTATTTCATCAAATTAAATGCTTCTTTTTTTACGCTGCAAGGATACAAACAGGGAGCCACCGCAGTGCTTCCTTTTATTCTTATTAATAATTCAATCTGTTTCTCCAGTAAATAAGTCCGATCCATTGGCCTTTGTGCATATTAAGCAGAGAATATATCAGCTAAGCCAGAGTGGCCTCATATGAATTCCTGTCAGTCCTCTCCCGCTCAGGCCTGATTACACAATAACAATGGACGGCTAACAAACCAAACCAATCAATAAGTGTAGGGCAGCACAGCTTGTCTTTTTACAGGCAGAGAGAAAGGCCCCATATATAGCTGACAATATTGCAATACGTTTATGAGGATTAGGAGTTAAGTTCTCGGCATGAGTTCTCATGTAGCCTGGAATGCTTCGACTCATGAATTGTTGCCGCTGCTAACGTTTCATCACGCACTGACCTCTGTTTAATTGGTTAGTGGCATTAGAAGACACCCCGCGCTGGTGTTTCTTCAGGGGGTCTCATGACTGGGGGCCATGTGTCTTGGGATATCCACTTTCGCCCCGCTCTTCTGTGTCCCCCATGTCTTTCTGTTGCCCTTTTATAGACAATGGCGATAAGTAACTCCTGAGCTATGGTGTCACTGCTGCCCCCTTTTCCTTCGGTCACCCCACACCCCTTGAAAACCACAGACCCCCTAAATCACCAGCCACTCCTGAAAGGAAATATTAGAAGGCCTCTTTTCGCTCCGGCACCACCACCCAGACCTATATGAAGAGAAATAATCAAATAAAAGAGGGTAAAACAAGAGGGCCATTGTTGAAGGAGCTAACGATGGGTGAGCAGAAAAATGGCAAAAGCTGCTTTATGACAGGGCTTCAAGTTTCCATGGATAACAGCACTCACACACACACTCGCATGAGTGAGTGTATGTTCATGCTTGAGCATACGCATGCACGCACGCTTCCAAAATACAGCCTCATAACTAGGCCCACACGGAATCTGTGCATGCAGAAATCTGCAGATTTCCACAGATTTTTAGCCCATCATTGAGTCTGTGTATTTACTTGTGTAAATTCATATTTACTCAGTTTTTAAATAAATTTTACCAATAAGATTGTGATAATAATAGTAATATCAAAATGTTCATATGATTTATTTACAATAAAGTTTGTAAAGTAATATTTTCTGTCTTTTAGTATAGAGGTTCCCAACAGGGGGTTCCGGCCCACAAGGGGGCTTCAGCGAGCTCTGTGGGGGTGTCATGTCATTTTTATTTAGGAGATTAGAATTAGGAGAACGATCGTGTTGGCTTAGTTCATTTAATTCCCTGGCTTACCAAAAAATTGACAAATTTGTAGTTTGTCCTTTACAAAAAAGAAAGAGTCTGACTGATTTGCCTTCAGCAGCTAATAGTAATGACCCGAGCATATTGGACACAGGTGAGGAAGCTCCAAACATTTCAGGTCGCATCGCCAGCATTT